CAGTTTTTTCTATATTTGTTTTCAAGATAAAAGAGTTTTCTAGTAGCAATTAAATAAAAAAACTTAAAATAGTAAAAGAAAAAAGGACAAGAAAATAACCTAAAAATATTCACTATAGTTAAAGACCTTATAATATTATGATTTATTATTTTCTCACTATTTTAATGAGTCTAAACAAAATTTTTATAAAAAGTAAATAATTTAGCTATATCAAAAGATTAATAATATTTACTACTTTTATATTTGGTAACTCTGTAATATAATATAATAAATATATAGATTAGCCACTATTTAAAAATATAGTTCTGTATAATTAATAATTCAAATAATAGTACTTATATATTTAATAGATGAATAGAGATAGTAAAAACATATAGAGTTTATAATTTGTTATACTTTAAAATAAAATATAAATTTTAAAGTTAAAAATAATAAGAAAAAAGAGATATATAATCTAATAATAAACTTATATATATATAATTTTTATATCTTTATATAGGCCAAAATGCAATTAATTTAGTTTTTTTTATATTAGTTGAGTTCTATATAAATATTATAATTATATAAATAAGTATTCAGATTAGCAAATACTAATTTAATAGATAAGTTCTTTAGTTTTATGTTTTTTATATTTGATGATCTTGCTTTTATTATTTTATTAGAGTTTTAAATAAATTATTGTTAACAAATATACAATAACTTTTTATACTATATTTTTATGCTAATGAAAGTTTACTTGATCTTATAGCTCAGATGCAATACTATCAGTAATTTGCTTCATGTTAAATCTTCAACTTTCTAAAGATATGAGCTTTTTGATCATAAGCTAAAGTAGCTATATATTTTATTAAGAAGCCAAATCAAAGAAAGCAAAAATAAGAAAAGAATAAAAAAAATACAGAGATATAAAAAAAAATTATAAAATATATAAACAAGAAAATAAAAGGGTAAAAGAGTATTAAGAATTAAATAAAAAGATAATTTGTTTATTTTAATATTATATTTATAAGCCTATAAAAGGTTTAAAAAAATTATATACTATTAAACAAAATAGTTTCTGCTTTAAATTTATTTAAATAGTATATAAAAGTTAAAAACTAGTAGAAAAACTTTATTAACTGAAAATATGTAGAGGTTAGTACTTAATTCTAGTCTTATAGCATTGTTTGATTAATTGTTGTATTTGAGGTACATACTTTAACATATTTGTTGTCCTGTTATACTAATTTAAAAAGTAAATAATGCTAACTATTTTGATACATATAATTTTAATCTTTTGGAGGAGGTAAACTAAAACACTTACTTTTTACAAAAATTTTCTTAAAAAAAGTGTTGGGCTAATGAGAGTATATAAGGTTCTTCTTGTAAATTTTACAATTGTATAGTTCAATTTCTTAGTTTCTATTAAATATACTTGTCTAGAAACTTACAAAAATATTGTTTTCAAAATATCTTTTTGGTTTAAATATCAAAAGTATAGAAGAGTCTACTTCTTTTTTTCTTGCTTTTTTTAAAAACTTCTCTGGTTTAGATACTAAATATACAGAGAAGTTCACTAAAAGAAAATGAGAAATAAAGCTTAATCTTTGTGCAAACTGTCCATAATATCTGCATCTCAGTGTATTATATTTAAAAACTTTGTTAACAACATTTTATAGAGAAGAAGCTTAACCCAAGGTACAGACTTGCTTTTGTTATATGTTTACTTCTTGGTGTTTTATATATATAAATTTTATCAATAGCAAGTTTGTTGATATAGTACAAGAGTATTTTCATATCTACTTTATCACTTTTCTATATTGTTTATTGTAGTTTAGTTTTTTTTTGTTATTGATCAAAAAATCATCAAAAAGAGTTGTTTTAGTTTTATATTTGTTTTTTAGATTTTTATTGATAGTTTAATTATTTTTTTATTTGTTTTTGTTTTTTGAAATATTCTGTTCTTGTATTTTCTCTTATTCTACTTTGCTTTTTAAAATTTTGTTAGAAAATATTATATCAAATTGGTAATATTTTATATAAAGTAATAATTTTGACAAGGTTAATAAACATCTACTGTAACCTCTTATAGTTTAAATTCTTAGTAAATTAAGGATTCTGAACAAGATAAATATACTATAAACTACTTAGATAGGTTATACTGAATACTAGTAAAATATATTTTTACTATGTTTTAACATTGAGTGATTCTTTATTAATACAAAAAAATAAATTGTAAAATAGGTTAAATTCTATTTGTATATTATATACTTGCTATATTCTATTCTAATTTAAATAATAAAAAAAATTGCTAAAGGAAAAAAAATTTAATCTAAATTTATTTAAACCTAACTTGGATTTAAATAAATCTAGATTCATTTAAACCCAACCCAGATTCAAGTAAACCCAAATCAGGTTCATTTAAACCTAATATAAACCCAAGTAGAATTATTTAAACCCAACCCAGATTTAAGTAAATCTAAATCAGGTTTACTTGAGTTAACATGAATTCAAGTAAACCCAAGTCAGATTCACTTGAACCAACCCAGATTCAAGTAAACCCAAGTTGGGTCACTTGAACCCAACCCGGGTTCAAGTAAATCCAAGTTGGGGTTATTTAAACCTAACTTGGGTTTATATAAAAGTTAGGTTTACTTGAATCTAAGCTGGGTTCAAGTGAACTCAAATTGGGTTTACTTAAACCCAACCTAGGTTCAAGTGAACCTAAATCATTTATTTAAACCCAATCTGGGTTCAAGTAAACTCAAGTTGAGTTCATTTGAACCCAATCTGGGTTAAGTAAACCTAATCAGAGTTTAAATAAACCCAAGTCAGGTTTATTTGAACCCAAATAATGTAAAAAATTTAAAACCTTTGACCCCGGAGCATCACCGGTGCCTGAGAGCTAGTCCATAATATATAAAACTGTTTTCTCGTTTCAATTTATCATGTCACACTTAATGTGATCGATAGGTCCATATGTAATCAAAATTATAGAAATCTACAAGCCACTAAAAACCGTTAAAAAATTGCTTTTTTGGAACATAACTTCTGTAGATTAGCGAACATTTCACAAATTTAGTTAAAGATGGCTTACATGATTTCATTTCGAAATCGCAATTACTTTTACAATAAGTTATAATGAGTTTCGAAATCAATAACTAAGCTTCTGATATTGAATAAAATGGATGATCTATTTATTTCGAAATAAACGGTACATTAGTTCTATTTGATAATAGCAATCGCACCATCAAAATCGAAAGGTTTTATAGATTTTTTTAATAGAACATCTACTTCATCTCCTGACTTTGAAAATTAGAAACACAAATAAGTATTTTTTAAGCTTCTATTTATTTTCAAAATAAGTTAATTCAAAAAGGTACAACCTAAAAAAAGACAAAGAACATTGATTTATCTGTTTAGTTAGGTTTATACCAAGACCTTTTTTTGACATGTCCAACGTCTAAGTCTAAAAATGTCCAATTATGTTTACACTTTCATAAGTCAAAAAATTATAAAAACCAGTAAGTCTAAATATAGAATGATATTTATTTATTTTATACAGTATATTTAGTATATATATATTTAGACATCCTGTTTTTATTTGGAGACATTTATCGTTATCGTTATCGTTATGTGTAAAATTAGCGCTAGGTGCTAATTTCTTTTTTTAGTGTAACATTTCCAATAGTATGTGATAATTTAGGGCTAACTTTAGGCAAAATAACAGGAGGAACCGTCGATGTTACATGACTGATCCTTCACCCGGTGTGCAACATATAAAAACATTATTTTACAATACCGGATCATTCCGTTAGTACATGTTATGATTATAATCCCACACCATTATAGTATAATCAAAATGATGTTGGATTATAATCATAACATGTACTAGCGGAATGATCTGGTATCGGTATTGTAAAATAATTTTTTTATATGTTGCACATCAGATGAAGGATCAGTCGTGTAACATCGACGGTTCCTCCTGTAAGGCAAAATACGCCAAAACATAATTTTGCGAATTAGATCATTATTAATTGGTAAATTAATTAAAAATCAGGTGACTAATATTAAATACTAAATAAGTAAATTCAAAAATCACGCTATCACTCACGTTACATAATCATTACATACAATGTAACGGTAAATAAATATATAAATAATTATCAATATTATTGTCTTTTGATATCGCGTAGTAATGAATCATGAAACCCAAAGGAACTCGATCTCTTACGGCTTGCATTCAATGTCGAAAAGCAAAAATAAAATGCACTAACTTCAATTCCAATGTTGGATGTGATGAATGTGAAAAACGTCAATTGAAATGTATAATGGATCCATATCGTAAAAAACGCGGTCCGAAACCAAAGATCCACATCATGCCTACTTCACACCTGCCAAATACAATTAACTTTGATTCAAAGGTTAATACTCTCCCGACAGTTTATTTTAACAATTTTATAATACTCAAGTCAATTAATACGTAGGTATCTGGATTAAATGAAGCATACAATTTTGGGAATAACATGATATATGATATCCAACCATCAGAAGTTAAACCTACATTATCAACTAGGTGTATAAGTTGTGTGAAAGGAAAAAAATTATGTAAAGGTGGCGTTCCTGGACTTTTTAAATGTGATAGGTGCCAAAAAAGGAACGTTTGTATATTCCAGTGTACTGCTTGTTATAAAAAGAATAAGGATAAAAAAAATCAGTTTTCGCAGTGCAACCATTGCAAAATGATTTCAGGGGGTAACGTCTATTAAATTGCTAAAGTTTGTCTTAATCTATTTAGCATAAAGTTTAATTAAAATTAATCATTGTTACCAACTAGATCCTCCCGAAAGTGTTTCTTCAAAGTATGATATAGTCATGGATGTGATTAATCAAAAATCTTACCTTCGTCATTGCAATTGTAATCATAAAATAGAAATCACCTCTGGTAATATTCTATTTTATTAATATGTTATTTTAAATTTTCTTTAGTACTAAAGATTATATTAGCTTTATTAGATGCAATGATTAGCTCCTATAAAACTCTTAATCCAACTTACGTAATACCAACTTACTCCACAGATGAAATCTCTAAGTTTTCAAATCTTCATGGTCAGACTGAGGAAAGCTATGCGAGTGGTATTGTAGAAAAGGGATTTATTAAATGTATATAAATCTTCGTACACGTATTCACATGTTAATTTATAAATTTTATCAATTCACAATAAACTTCTCAGAGACTGATTTCACATCAACCATGGTACTGGATGCCTATGATCCTCAACTTAACATTCATAATAATACTTACCATCCTGTCGATTCTCCTTTTAACGTTTATGAAAATGTCGATCATTATCAATCTGTTCCTACCCATTCTAATACATTTACAAATTTTTTACCGTTACATCTCACTAATTAATATAATTGCAATTTTAAATTTCTTATGCATTTTAAGAATATGATATTAATATAAATGGCTGTTTTTTGGTTTTTTTTTTCTGCCTAACAGTAAGGAGAAATAAGTGTCTAATTGTCATGATATTAAATATTTGGTAATGATAAAATGTAACAAATATTAAGCACTTTTTTTTTGTTAAGATATCTTTAAATGTAGATTTTTTTTTATATATAATATGAAAATATTGAGTTTTAAAAGATATGTTTTGTTTGAATTAATTGATAAAAAATTTTGCTATAATGTAACTAAATATACAATATAATCTATACATTGTTTTGAAAATTTGCAATTATAAAAAACACTATTTTTAAAATTGGGTTTATGTTTATTATTCAAGAACAAATTAACCAAATACGATACGTATTTACATTTTTCAGGCAAAATATTTAAGCAAGATTAATTAATTAATTTAACTATAATGTTTACTGACTATATTGCAGTGATAGTATTAAAGGTTACAATTAAATTTATACAATTTATTTTAAAAATTAATTTAAAATGATTGTATTCTTAGGTAAAGATAAGTATATATTTTTATTAACGTTTTGTTTTAATATTATACTTTTTATGATATATTGACTTAATCTTGTCATAATGACAATAATATATGTGACGGCTGATGCTGAAGTTTGGCTGATGTTGAAGCTAAAAAATCTGATTGGTTAGGGTTAGGGTGATCTGCAAAATTTAGCCAATCAGATTTTTTAGCTTCAACATCAGCCAAACTTCAGCATCAGCCGTAACAATATATAGTAATACAAGTTAGCAAAATTTTCATTAACTATAATTATAACAAAAATCGAGTTTAACTCAAATAAGACCCGAAGCTGAAAAGGTCTACAATACAGAAAACCAGCATGCATTATTTTATTTCTAAGTAGATTCAAATTCGAATTTCAATTTGAATTAGCAGAATACTATTTTTTAAGATTCTGCTCTTAATTGTTAGAAATTACACACATACAATGATAACCAGCATTAACACATCTTATAGACTAAAAACTAACATAATAGTTTTTACCATGTTTTTGATATTGTATAATTCTAGAATAGTATCATTATTTGGATATCACAGATTAAATGATATTCAATAGGGAATCAAAAGAGAGTTACCCAATTGTTGCCAAATTTACCCCTATTGTTTACGGATTTTGGCATCAAATGTCAATCAGAAATCAATTAGGTTACTTACTTATTGCCAATTTAACAAATGGTTAAATTTTAAATACACAAACCTATTGACCTCAATATCGCGATAATCGGGTAGCTCTATTAATTCCTATTGACCTCCTTTGGTGCCAAAATCCGTAAGCATAGGATGCCAATTTGGAAACAATTGGATAATCCATATTGAGTATCATTTTATTTGTATATAATGCAAAAAATTAAAATAAATCTAAAAAATTAATTATAACTTAAAACTTATGAATCAGAATTTTTTTGCATACTAGCAAAAAAAAACTTGCAAAATTTTAACATGATTATAACTCTTTTTAAATTTAACCTTGACATAATAAGAAAATTTTTGTGCTTAATAAAATTTCTAATACGTAGCTATTTTTTAGACAAACTACTTTAAACCCATATACAAATATTAACAATAAATCAAGCCAACTTTAATCTAAATTGAGCTAATTTGGTCAGCAAACTAACTACAGGACGTATTAACCAAACAGTTATTGGTATATGATAGATACACTTGCCGTCCACGAAATAAATGCTTACAAGTCAATTGCCAGCAGTGTTGGCCGATGACATAGGTCATAACATTTTTTCGATATGACTTTGGTCATATAATCATATGACTTTTTGGTC